TGTCTAGCCCCAATCTAGAATTTGCTTCAGTGTAGTTACAAAATAGACTTTACTAGCTCATTTGAAAAAATAGTTATGTTAAACTGAGTCATCTAGTCTATTCCCAATATTTGTATCAGGCTTTATCTTTTAAGCAACTGTCATGAAATGAATAAAGTAACTTAAATGTGTGAGAGAACTGCTACTATTGGGAGTGCTAAAAGTGTTTGCTAAACAGTTCTCTGGCTTTCTATTTGTGGATGGTGGCAGTAATTTTCAGTGAAATTATTGTTTCCATAGAAACAGTATGTTTATGCTACTTGCTCTTTAATCCACTGTGGGGAGCTACTGTCTCATGTTTGAGACACGCCAAGTATTAAATGTTACGCAAAACTCTGCTAAAATACAGAGCACATTTTTGTTTATTTTAATGTTAACCTTATTTGTGGAAAATTAAGGCAAGATACTATTAAAAGCATTTAAAATTCAGATCCGATAACAAATACAAAATATAGATAGATGGTATAAATATCCAGACATGCTACTGATACAAAGTTTCTTGGGGTTGCAGATCACATTTCAGGTTAAAAACAAAATATTTGAGGAAGAAGTATGTTTGTGAAGAGACTTAATAGCAAAACAAAAAAATGGTATGGGAGTCACTCTGTAATTAGGGATAAGTAAGTCTTAAAAAGAAAATTCTAACTTTAGATAGTTCAGATCTGGGACATAAATTTAACTATTAAGCTTTATTCCATATTTCATTGGCATACAAACCTTTAGCTAAAAAGATACAACGTTCTCATTAATTTAAATTTCTTAAGTCGAGTCAAATATTATTAACAAATTCAGAATAGGCAATAATGGGTTTCTATTTCACAGAGCAAGGGCCATAAACCATGGAAATGGGAAGCTGTGTTTGTAGGGGAAAAAATCTAGTTTTATTCCATCCAATTTAGCTGCCATTCTGTTGTGTATATCAGTTTGATGAACAAAATTAGTGAAAAAGAAGTTTATTTTTCATTATGGAACAAAAAATGAATAATAGATTGATCAAGCTTTCCTTCCATCTTTATTTTTTTATGTCCCCTGCAAATAAAAGCCCCGAACCTAGGTATATTTGTATCATTGAAGTATTTTTGCAACTTTTTGCTTAAGTGTATAATGATGTATACATTCTATATTATCACAATAATATACATTCTAATAAAATCACAATAGTAACTGGAAGATTATTGTGATAGCTAATTAGATATTATAGCCAATTTTTAAAGAAAATGTTGTGTGGCTTATTTTTTCCATGGACATTTTCCAACCAAGTTAGAGTATTTGCATTGGAAAATGTATGGTCGAGACTCAAATGTATCCTGTGGAAATTATCATTTCCTAAGTACAATAGTCCTTTGCCTAAACATTTCCCAATTTAAAAAAATCTGGAAAAGCCATGGTTTAAATTTGCAAGCGGTGTGGGGCTCTATAGAGTCTTCTTCCATCCAAAGAGCCTTAATAATGTGGATGTGTGTATCTATTTATTTTTGTTACAAAATATTGGAAAAAAGCAGGGATTGAGGTTGATACAAATTGGTAGGGTATGTGTGTCCTCCATTTGGCTGAGACTGGAATTTATTAATGGACATTATATATTATTGTTGTGCCTTGTAATTTAAAGTGACTGAAGGAATTAGACTATAGTTGTCCAATCTTTTGACTTCCTTGGGCCACATTGAGTGAAGAAGAATTGTCTTGGGCCGTATATAAAATAAATAAAACAGTTAATATATATAAATAACAACCTTTACTTTTTAATATTTTTATTTATCCTGTGGGGCCACATTATGAGCTGTCAAGGGCCACATGCAGCTGTGAACCATGGGTTGAGCACACCTGGGTTAGATTATGATGAAAACCTTGGCTTCTATGAAAACAGAAAAGCACTTTTTCTTTGAAATATCCTGTAACAATTTACATTATTCTTCATATTAAGCATTATTTCAAATAGCCTTTTGGTGAATATGTTGGTAATGGGCCTGGGTTTTTTATATTGTATCTGTTATAAGATTTTGTTATTCTTTATTCTACTAATTGTATGGATAGTTTAGTTTAATTTTGACTCGTACCCTCCTAGTATTTTCATTTGCTGCTGTGCGCCCGGTATTAATTAAATAAAATTTCTCAGGATTATCACCTATTTTATTGGATATTATGCAGAATAATAAAATATCATCTGCTATTACAGACATTTTTTCACAGTTCCATTCCATGTGACTACTGAAGTCCTCCCTATCTTATCAGTATTTTCTAAGTTGTATGTTTCATATCCCACATTTCTATTCAAATCACTATTATTTTATACATTGGATAAGTAGTGTTAATCTCAGTAACTACATGGATACTATAGATAGAAAGGTTTGATGTTGAGAAGTTCACATGAACTGCTGAGTTGTGTGTTGCTGCTGCTACTCCATCTGTATGAATAGGTGACTTATAGGCTAATCTATGAAAAGTTTCTGCCCCAAGTGAGAATATTGTATTGCTTCAGAAGATATTGGTTCTATGAAACAGTATATATAAATGTGATACAAGGCATATTATACATTTGAGTGAGGCTAGATTGAGAGGAATTTTTTGAGGTAGTCTTTTAATTGTAATGTAAATATTTTAGGGGTTCTGCTCTATAGTTTCTGCCTTTCTTATTTCAATGTCCTCCATTTTAGGAGTCATGATAAGGGAACCCTGAGTCCAAACATGGAGCATGGCAATTGCTGTTTGCTACCCTTGACCAAATGCACTACTTATCAGCCTATTAAGAAAGGAAGTAAAGTACTGCATAGAGAACTAATAATTGAGCCTTTGTCTCTGATAAAGAGCTTGCTTTTATGTATTAAATGACAGCTGGGAATTAATGCTGTTTGGAAAAGGTGAAACCTCATTCTAAAAACCTCCATAGATATGTAATTGCTATTGATATAATAAATACAGACCTGGGCATTTTATGGCCTGTGGGCCACATCCAGCCTGGAGGCTATCCATATCTGGCTCACACAGTTGGCGGGGGTCTCATCAGATAGAGCAGTGGGTAGGTGGGGTGGGGTGGAGTCAGCAGTCCTCCACAACAGTCCCTGTGGCCCCTTGGGAAAATTAATTGCCCACCACTAATATATACATTTCATATTTAAGATGTAGTGTTGTGTTTTTGTCTCTTCATTGTCTATAAACTTTCTAAAGCTGTTCATACTGGGAAATTCCCTAGACATGCATCTTTTCTAATACATCATAATTTTCTTTTGTTTTAAATTCCTAGGCATTCTAAAATCAAATTAATATGACTGTGCAACAGGAGAGGAGGCAGGCTTAACTGCTCTCCTATCTGGGCTCATGGACACTAAGATTACAAATAGAATATGTGTAGTTAGCAAAGGCATGAAACTTAATATAAAATTTAAATAATTAATTAGATTTAGATCCTGAGTTGCTGTGCATGAGTGAGTGAGTTTGTAAAATCTTTAGCACTTTTTTTCTTAATTAGTGATGTTGGATCAAAACCTAATGTAGCATGAAGCATTTCTAACCACCAACATGCTAGATTTTTGTCAATCCATTTATTATTCATGTGTGCATATAAACTGAAAGAGAGATGTTTCCTAAAGTTGTCAGATCCTCCAAAACAGAGATCAGCATTTGTTGGGTGTGGCATTTGAGCATGCAAATGTACTTTTGTTAGTGCAATGCCATTATTAGATACAGGCTAAACTTCCATAAACTGAAAATAGAATATTAGCAATTACCATTGTGAGGTAAGAGATACCTGCTAGCTCTTCCTCCTAGCAATATCCTTTGTATAATAGTTAAATATGTAGACTCTTACAAAATATAGTAATATTTCTGCTGCATTAGATCAAAGATCTATCATTTCACAGTATATTTTCCCAGTGGCCATTCACATGCTTATCAGAACCCTGCAAGCAAGGCATGAAGGTAGTAGGACTATTCTACCAGTTGCACATCAACCACTACTGATTAGAGGTATATGTCTTGATGAACAGCCTGATATGGATCTATGGGCTTCCCACATTTTATGTAAATATTAGGATAAGTTTTTAAATAATGTAACAATGGAAAAAAGCAATTCTATTTTTGTAACATTGTATTTAAATCGGTTTTCTTTCACTTTAATTAGATCAGATTACTTATATACTTTACATGCATTTTACTGTATTAACTGGAGTAAAAAAACAAATCACAGTAATGTATTATACATTTAAAAGATTAAAATTTTTGAAAAATATTAGTACAATTGGCATTTTAAAATTCAAGAAATTGCACACTCCCTATAGATTGTGAATACTGATTTCTCCTTCCTTTTGTGGCCTTTGAAAAAGTTTCTGTAGAGATTGCAGAATTGACTGGAATTGCAAAATTTTACAACTGTTTTAATATTTTTCCCATCATGGGAGATTAAGTCTGAATCCATTCCTAATTCAGTAGCCTTCAAAACATGCCTATAAGATAGACCATTAGTTTTAGTCCCCATTTGAGGAAAGAATACTGCTGCCAAGGGAATGTACAGTATATACTTGAATTGAATGAATTTGCAGAATTGAACTTCTCAACTAGATTACTGTTTTGTCTAACTAGTTTAGTAGTATTAGTTCTGGTTGTGATTTCTTTTTGAAGTGCTAGGCAGAGGTCTTTCCCTTTCTGCAAAGATTACTTTTTGAAATAAGTTATATCTCGAACTTCAACTTTGGAATATACGTTTTCTATTCCACTGTATCATGGCTTGTAGCAAAACATCTTACCTTAACCGCTTGGTAAGTATGTTGCTGAAATGAAGTTTGGACCAAGAACATTTCAACTGATGCTCTTAGTAAGCATTTTTCAGCAACCTTTCACAATATTTGTGTGCATACTTTGACCAGGATATATAATAACTGATAACGTCTTCCCCTGTATGTGAAGTTTGGAAAACTGGCAACTTTAATGTACAATTGATAGTCAATTTTCTTTTCGTTTGTCTTCAGTGCCACCTGGAGTGATACAAAATGGAGCTCGCATTCTGAGTAGAGGAATTTTCCCAGGAGTTAGACCACTGCCAATAAACCCTATTGGAAACATGGCTGCAGCAGTAAGGTAAGAATTCTCAAGTGCAATATCAGTAGCACTACACTTAATTGCACAATGGACTCAGTTGGATCTCCAATGTAATTTGTATTATGTCCCCAAGATTATACTCTCTGTGAAAGCCAAGAAAACTAAGAATCTTCAAATAAAAACTCTAAAAGGGCTCTAATATATTTTTAATTGATTTAGTACATTTGGAGGCATGTAAACGTGACTTAGACTCTTCAATTTATTTTCAGGTAGACCATGAGAAGACATTTCTCTGTGACATTAAACACCTGACATAAGAATCAATGTTCAGATTCATACACAATATTCACCTACTTAAGTTTGTTCCTATTTGCCTATTTTACCATTTCAATAGTCAAATCTAATTAAGAAGATAGCAGTCCCATGATCTATGTGACTATAACGTTATTTGTGTACAAATGACTTCTTTGGTTGCAGCATGTGAAAATACAGAATTTATATTTTAACTGTTACTGAAATTCTCCCAGATTATACAGTATATGTTTCTAATGCAATGCATTTTGCAGTTGTAACTTGCTTAAGCCATTTATAATTTGTTCCTTTTGCACATAGTATTTGAATGAATAGATTATGTAGCCAGTTTTTGTAACCATTTTATGTTTGGGTGTCCAAATCAAGTTACAATAGATTGAGATTATTTTAATAACGTGCATTACTCAAAAGTAAAACCAAGAGAAATTCATCATTTGACACAAAACATAATGGAGATCATGCCATTAAATTTCCTGTTGTCTTTTAAGCTTAACTACCTAAATAGATCTTTTGTTACAGACTAATCTGTAAATGGAAGTACAGTAGTTTGTGAATCATCATTGTCTGGCACTAAAATTACACAATGGAACATAGTACTTCCATAGTAACTCTTCATTTTATTCACACTTTTCTTTATCATTTGCCACCAACATTTTTTTCTTCAGCTTCTTTTTTAGAAAGACAAATTACTTCCTTAACTGCAAAATCAATACTAAGAATGACTTCAAAACAGAGTTATAGTTAGCAGTCTTAAGACGTTACGACATCCCTAAATCCCCTGCTTTTGAACATCTGAACTTCCTCTCTGTCCATGAGTTTTGAACAAATGCAGCACAGATTCATGTTATTCTAAAGTAAGAAACATGTGTTCTGTCCCAGCCTACGTACATCCTCGTTACTTCACAAAGACAACACCTCTTTTAACAGTAGACTGGAAAATAAACCGTTTTTATTTGAGTTACAGACCTGATAATTGTCCCAGAAAACAAAAGCAACAGAACACTTTTCCAATGGAGACCTTGTCCAAAAGCAAAACGGAGCACGAGTCAAACAGGAAATAACTCACAGGCAAAATAAACAGACCATGATCTCTTGACTCTGAAGTTCTTTGCAAATGATTGCCTCCAGCAATCAGCCCTGCCCACACATTCCCTTTTTGTTACGCAGTCCCCAAGGCGTGGCTTCTCACTGCTTTCTCTTCCTCCCCTGGAGTTGCCCCATTGCCTCCCTCTGTCCTACTTGTGTGACCTGTCTACATTTACGAGCATCTCTGAGATCTTACAGCTGTGCTTCCTCCAAGTCCGACTCAGCTTCCCAGCAAGCTGGCTCTGGACCAGCCTCTTCATTAATTTGTTAAGTCCTGCAGCTCATCAGAGCCTCCCTCCGACTCTTATGGCTCTCCAGGCCCCTCCTCCTCCTCCTCTGATTCCCCAGACTCAACTACCGGGATCACAGGCTGGCACGGAATCACAACAACACATGGAAATTGTATTAAAATCCCTAAAATAACAGACTGCAGTTAAACGTTGCAAAACCCTCTCCAACTCCTCCCAATCCTGATCACATATATAACATTTCCACTCTCATTCTGAAGCAACCAGCCCACCCTCCCAAATGTAAATATAGTGACCCATTATGACCAAAGAGTTGTCCACTCCTGCTTTAAAGTGTGCAACCTGAAACTGAAGAGCCATGTGGAGCCCTCATGCTATGTAGAATCATAAAGTTGGAAGGAGTAATTCAATTTATTGAGTCAAATTCCCTGCTTATTGGAGTTACCAAAGCATTCTTGAAAGATGGTTGCCTAGATGGGTTTGAACGTGGTGTAGCCAGTTAAAGAGGAGCCTACCATCTGAAAATGAAAGTAATAAAGGAGAATTTTTGAAGCTCAGGTTTGATGTGGGGGATCCTTGGTGCTCTCTGGGCTTGCTTGTTTTCTTGCAGACGTTTCGTTACCCAAACTAGATAACATCATCAGTGCAGAAAATGAAATTAGAGATGACTTTCAAGAAAGTGAAAGACTAGATAAAAGAGTGACTTACAGAATAGATGACACAGTGCAGAGACTGAAGAAAGAAACTCAAAATAATCCCACCTTGATTTTGTTTATTATAAAATTGGAGGAAAAAAAACAGTGGAAGAATCCAGTTACTATATGCTGTTACTATAAGCTACAACAACAAAAAGCTGCATTCCAGGAATCTATGCAATGTTGATGTCTTAACTGACCTAAACTTCAGAACTCTGGGATCAGCTGTATGGACAGTTGGGTATCCTATCAAAAAATCTCTTATTGTTAAGACTTGGGGGGGAGATCAGCTAGAATTTCCCTTCTCATAACTTAAATCCATTAATTTGTGTTCTGTAGTATAGAACAAGAGAGAGCAGATCTTGTTCTTCTCCTGTGACTTTCTTCAGTTATCTGAAAAGTGCTGAAGTTTTATCTCCCCTCATTCTTCCTCTTTGGGTCTAACACTTCTTTCCCCCCCCCCCACACACATGCTTCTTCAAATTCTTTTCAAAGGACAGTTTCTAGTCCCCTAATCATCCATGTTGCAATTTTCTGAACTTTTCCCATTTCTCTAACTGCTTCTTAAAGTATGAGGACAGAACTGAACATAGTACCTGAAATAGGGCCTGTCCAAAGTAGAATAAAATAAAATTTCATGTTAATTGGAAACCATACTTTTGTCAATATTTATGTTTTCATGTATATACTGTCTTTATGCCGGAAGAACATCAGGCTTAGTCTTCTCATGCATATTGGAGTTCGTAGGATAGAAGCTGAAAAGGAAGGAGTGAAAATAAAGGAGCAAAACTGAATGCATAGAAAGTAGAATAAATGAGATAAACTTTTATAAATTATCTTTCCATTGCCCAGAACTTGGCAAATTGACAAAGAAAAAATACTGCTGATATTCAGCCTCTTGTCAGTTTTCTGATAGGAATATTTTCCTGCATATGCTTTACTAGGTAGGACCACGTAATCACTCTTGATTGATTAAGTGCCATCAACTTGTTTTAACTTCTAGTGACTGCATCGATTTTCTCCTCAATTATCTATCCGTAACCTGGTCTTTCAGATTTTCCAACAATGTACTCATCACCACTGTAACTGACTCAATCCATCTTACTGCTACTTGTCCTCTTCTCGTTCCTTCCACCTTTCTCAATATTAGAGCCTTTTCCAAAGAACTAGATCTTCACATAATGTGTCCAATGTAGGATAATTGAGCCTGATCATTTGGACCTTGAAGGGGAACTCTGAGGTTTCTTTTCTTGACCATCCACAGTATTCTCAGGAATCTTCTCCAACTCCAAAATTCAACAGTGTCAATACTCTTCCTATCTTGTTTCTTCAGCATCTAACTTTCACTTCCATAAGTATGGCTTGTACAGTTCTGATCATTGTAGGAATAGGTGTATCACAGCATTTGAATATCTATTCAAGGTCTCCATGGCTGCTCTCTCAAGTGCTAGTCTTATCTGTTGTTTCTTTACTGTTGATGGTTGATCCTAAAAGACAGAAACAATATATCTCTTCAGTATTTTCATTGTCAATTCTAAGGTTGGTTGTTTTATCTATTGTTATTAGTTTCTCTGCTTTATATTTAATTCCAGTACTATTTTTTTCCATTGCTGCTTAATTTTTATTACTAGAACATGCAGATCCTTTGCATTTTTATCTATCAAAGTAGTATCCTAAGCATAGCACATTCTTTTTCTTCCAATCCAGCTTCCTTTAATATACAATTTGTTCAGCATATAGGTCAGTGGTGGCGAACCTATGGCACAGGTGCCAGAGGCGGCACTCAGAGCCCTCTCTGTGGGCACGCGCGCCGTCACCCCAGTCCTAGGCCTTCAGCTGGGTTTTATAAAATCTTTTCGCTTTAGGCCTCCGCCGTGTACAAAAAAAAAAGGTTCAATCAATCAGTCAATTTCAACTTCTCACAGGAAAAAAAAGATCTTGCAAAGTTGGAATTGATTGATTGAACTTTTTAGTCCCACCCAGTCTGTCGTTACCACATAGCCACACCCACCCAATTGGCCATGCCCACCCGGCACCCGATGATGCATAAGTGGGTTTTGGGTTGCAGTTTGGGCACTCGGTCTCTAAAAGGTTTGCCATGACTGTTTAGGGTGACCCGTTCCCTACTTAACGTTCGGGAAGCCGGGGAGCCCTTACAGGGTAGGACGGAGGAATTCGTGCAGTTCCTATCAGACAAAATCGCTTGGATTCGGACAGACCTAGACTCCAATTGGGCAGGGCCTTCTGAGATGACTGGGGCAGGTCTTAGCCCAGTTTTATGGGATGAATCTGAGTCTGTGACCGCTGAGGATGTTGACAGAGCGGTGGGAGCGATGAGCGCCTCCACTTGTTTATTGGACCCGTGTCCTTCCTGGTTGGTCTCGGCTGCCAAAGAGGTGACACGAGGCTGGCTCCAGGTGTTGATCAACGCTTTGTTGAGGGAGGGGTCTTTCCTGCAATCCTTGAAGGAAGCGGTTGTGAGGCCCCTTCTCAAGAAGCCTACGCTGGGTGGTCGTGCAGAAATATAAAAGCTTTTTGGATTAAGATATGGTGGAATATTCAGAGAATTTTTAGAAGGAGGGTAAAATTTATTCCACAATTATTTTTATTAGGTATAGTTACTGATTGTGATACAAAGGAGGTTATATTGATGTTGAACTTGATCACAGCCGCAAGGCTGTTAGTAGGACAATATTGG